ATTAGGGAAAAGAATAGTTCCACTGTCTTGAATTGAACAGAACAAAACTGGAATATTATGTTCAATTTGGGTGATACCCTTTAATAAGAAAACTGACAAATTATTGTACATTTAGGGGAGGGTGGCTAGGATGGTGTTGGGGGTCTGGAAACTTTATCAAATAAAGAATTGTTAAAGAAGCATAGCTGGTTAGCATGGAGAAGAAAAAACTAAAGAGAGAAATAATAGCTTCCTTGTAACATTTGAAGAAACTTTGCATAGAAGGAGTAAACTTTTTGTGTCTGTGTTGCTTCAGAATTAGAACTAGGACTAAAATTAGATCTAATGAATACAAGTTATAAGAAGCCTGATTTGGGTTCACTATGAGAATTAATAATTCTTGCTTTCCAAAGATGGAATGATTTCCCATATCTAGTAGTGAGATCCTTTTCACTGGAACTATTCAAGCAGAAGTCAGATGACTGACCAAACAATTCTCTCTTATTGGGGAAAAAAAAAAAGAAACATCTTACATTGGGTAGGTTTCTTAAACTGACTCCATGGAGTCATGACCCACAGTTTAAGAAACGCTGAAGGGGTTTAAGACACCCTAAACTAAATAACCTTTAAGACTTCATCCAACTCTAAAATTCCAGAACTTTATTGAAAGCATAGGGTTTTTCTTAAATTAAGAAAGTAATTGGGGCACAGCCAAGATAGAAGAGTAAAAATAGTGACTTGCTTGAGCTCTCCCCCAAACCCTTTCAAATACCTGTAAAAAAAATGGCTCTACACAAATTCTAGAGCAGCAGAACCCACAAAAAGACAGAGCAAAACAATTTCCAGCCCAAGACAACCTGGATGATTGATTGGAAAGGTCTATTGCCCAGGCTAGAAGAGGAGAACAGTTCAGCATGGGCCAAAGACCAGGCCTCAGGGGACTGAATCACTAGTAGCTGTGGTGGTTTCCAGACTTCTCAACCCACAAACACGGAAAACAACTTAGAAGGTCAATAGGAAAGGTATGTGACCATGGTGAGAGAGAAGCTTGTTCCTAACTTTGGGGCTGGTGGCTGCTTCCTGAACTCTTGGCCCACACACAGTAGGGGAATCAAGTGGCTGATCAGAGGGGGATTGCATGGATCTCTTTCTGGTGCTGAGGCAGGATTCTCTTGCTTTGCCAGTGCTTGGATCTGGGTCACAATTCTGGGTGGTGATCTTGGAGCAAGGAGAAGCTCTGGCGTAGTGGAACTTATCGTGATGGTAAAGAGGGAACCTCCTCTCAGTTCCAAGGCAGAAAAGAGTGCTTGTGGTCACTCATAGACCCAAGCACAGGCTAGGAAAGGAGTAAACACCTCACCCTTGATCATACCACCTTGGAAGAATGGAAAATTTGTAGGTCCCTAGAAGTATCGCTGAAAACAGCCACACAAAACCCCTGAAGCTTGGGACAGTACATTCTCCACACTAGAAGCAGACCCCTACCTTAACAAAGAGTTTAAAACTCAAATAATTGTGGGGCACCTAGGTGGCCCAGTGAATAGAGCTCTGGCCTTGGAGTCAGAAGGACCTGAGTTGAAATCCAGCCTCAGACACTTAACACTTACTAGCTGTGTGACCTTGGGCAAGTCACTTAACCCCATTGCCTCACCAAAGAAAAAGGCAAAAAAAAAACCTTAAATAATTGAGTGGGATCATGAGCAAACTGTGAGAAAAAGTCAGATCATAGAATCTTTCTTTGGTGACAAAAAAGATCAAAACATACAACCAGAAGAAGGCAACAAAGTCAAAGCTCCTACATCCAAAGCCTCCATGAAAAATATGAATCAGTTCCAGGCCATGGAAGATCTCAAAAAGCATTTTGAGAAGCAAGTAAGAGAAGTAGAGGAAAAACTGGAAAGAGAAATGAGAGTGATACAAGAAAATCATGAAAAACAAGTCAACAGCTTGCTAAAGGAGACCCCAAAAAATACTGAAGCAAATAGCCTAACCCAATAGCCTTAAATAATAGCCTAACCCAAATGGCAAAAGAGATCCAAAATGCCAATGAGGAGAAGAATGCCTTAAAAAGCAGAATTGGGCAAATAGAAAAAGAAGTCCATAAGCTGACTGAAGAAAATACTTCCTTAAAAATTAGAACGTGGCAAATGAAAGCTAGTGACTTTATGAGAAATCAAATCATTGTAAAACAAAACCAAAAGAATGAAAAACTAGAACACAATGTGAAATATCTCAATGGAAAAACAACTGACCTGGAAAATAGATCTAGGAGAGATAATTTAAAAATTATTGGACTGCCTGAAAGCCATGATCAAAAAAAGAGCCTAGACATCATTTTTCAAGAAATTATCAAGGAAAACTGCCCTGGTACTCTAGAACCAGAGGGTAAAATAGAAATTGAAAGAATCCACCGATCACCTCCTGAAAGAGATCCCTAAAGGAAAACTCCTAGGAATATTGTAGCCAAATTCCAGAGTTCCCAGGTCAAGGAGAAAATATTACAAGCAGCCAGAAGAAACAATTCAAGTATTGTGGAAACACAATCTGGATGACACAAGATTTAGCAGCTTCTACATTAAAGGACCGCAGGGCATAGAATATAATATTCTGGAGGGCAAAGGAGATAGGACTACAACCAAGAATCACCTACCCAGAAAAACTAAGTATAATCCTTTGGGGTAAAAAATGATCATTCAATGAAACAGGAGACTATCAAGCATTTCTGAGGAAAAGACTGGAGCTGAATACAAAATTTGACTTTCAAATACAAGACTCAAGTGAAACATGGAAGAGGTAAACAGAAAAGAGAAATCATAAGAGACTTATTAAGGTTGAACTGTTTACATTCCTGCATGGAAAGACGATATTTGTAACTCATGAGTCCTTTGTCAGTATTAAGTTAGTTGGAGGAAAAAAATTATATGTGTAGATAGATAGATAGATAGATAGATAGATAGATAGATAGATAGATAAATAGACAGAGAGATAGATAGATGGGTAGATGGGTAGGTAGATGGCACAGGGTGACTTAAAGATGAAGTGGTGATATCTAGAAAAAAAATTAAGGGGTGAGTGAGGATTATACTGGGAGAAGAAGAAAGGGAGAGGTAAAATGGGGTAAATTATCTCACATAAAACAGACAAGAAAAGGCTTTTACAGTAGAAGGGAAGTGGGGGAAGGTGAGACAGAATGAGTGAATCTTATTGTCATTGGATTTGGCTTAAGGAGGGGATAACATACACACTCTATTGGGTATGGAAATCTGTCTTATCCTACAGAAAAATGGGGGGGGGGACAAGAGAGCAGGGAGATGATAGAGGGAGGGCAGATTGGGGGAGGAAGCAATCAGAAGCAAACACTTCTGAGGAGAGACAGAGTCAAAAGAGAGAATAGAATAAATAGGCAGACAAGATAGTATGAAGGGAAATATAGTTAGTTTTCCACAACATGACTACTATGGAAGTGTTTCGCATGACTACACATGTGTAACCTGTATCAAGTTGCTTGCCATCTCAATGAGGGTGGGTGGGGAGGCAGGAAGGGAGAAAACTTGGAACCCAAAGTTTTAAAAACAAGTGTTAAAAATTGTTTTCACATGCAACTGGGAAATAAGATATACAGGCAATAGGGTATAGAAATCTATCCTGCCCTACAGGAAAATCGAAGGGGAAGGGGTTAGGAAAAGGAGGGAGGAGATAGAAAGGAGGGCAGATCAGGGGAAGAAGTATTCAGAATGCACTCCATCTTGGCGTGGGGGGAGGGATGAGATAGGGAGAAAATTTGAAGCTCAGAATCTTGTGGAAATGAATGTTGAAAACTAAAAATAAATAAATTAATAAAATAGAAAAAAAAATTTTTAAAAAAGAAAGTAATTGTTTTGCAAACCTTAAAGCACTATAGAAATGTGTTATATTATGATTGTTAATAACATATTAGAGTGCTAATAACATATAGAGGGTTAATAACATATACAGAGGGCTAGGGACTCTACCTATAATTTCATTTATATGATAAGGAAACTTTCTCTACCAGCTGATGCATTCCCTGCAAATTGTGGTCTTGTAGAGAGCTGCCTAAGCCAAAGCAGAAGAGGCTAACAGCCTAGCCCAGGATCACACATGCAGTATGTATTAGAATCTGGAGCCCAGGTCTTCCTGATTTTGAGGCCAGCTCTGTATTCACCATGTCACAACACCTATCTTGCACATAATAGGCGCTACATAAAATTTGGTAGAATTTAATTAAACAGATGGATCAAACAACCAATCATTAAGTATATATTAAGTATGAATCTGGAAGAAAGTCAAGTATTCTAAAAGGCAGAGGTGAAGAAAGAGAACATTCTAGGTATGGGGGACAAGCCAATGCAAAGTTGTGGAAATGGCCTGATCAACATTCCAAAGCCTTTGGGAAAGCACTCGCTTTAAGTTGTATGTCCGGGGTAGGGATGGACTTACAGGGAGTCACCCACACTCTCTCGCCTGCTCCTTCTCGTGACCCCATGCATTTATTCAGCTCGAGTCCCAGAAGCAGTTTGTGATTAAGGAACAGTGCAAAGACAAGTGGCCAATACAGGGACTGAACCTGCCACACGGGGCTCCCTGGCCCTGGCACCGAGCTGAGAAGCTGCCAAGGGAGCTGGGAAGCACCAGCAGAATATCAATCATCGGACCCCTGCTTACTGGGATTGCTTGACCATGAGGGACCAGGAAGGCTCTTCCAGTTTTCGGTCAAGTAGCCCCCCTCTGTATGCAGAGGGCATGTGCACATAGCAATGTGGTTACTCTGAATCTCACACTTATTAGTATGTTTCAGGTTGCCCTGTTTGCCACTAATGTTTGCTATGATCGAGTGCCAGGAGAGCCCTCAGCCTCAAGAGACAGTGAGAATATGTCTGCCTGATGAATCCCAAACCCTCACCCCTGAGCAGCTTCTTTGGGGCTGAATGGAAACATTATAACAATTTAATTACCTTTCACAAATGCAGCCTCTGAAATCACACTCCCCTTTGCCAAAATGCCATTTCCAAAAGAGGTACAGGAAGAGGGGTCCTGTTCATCCAGGGGTGAGAAGCAGAGTCCTTGAAGAAATGGAACCTATTTTAATTAAGTTTCAAAAGTGACATACTATCCCCTGACCCACATATACACTGAAAGTGTCCTTTTTGAGCCAGGCCAAGTTTCCATCGCTGCCGGAGCTGGGCCCTTTACCGTGTGAGCTCCATGAAGCCAGGCGATGGGTTTTGTTTTGTTTTTAATAAAAAGGCCAATAATGGGGCCTGCCAATAGGCATTGTCTTCCCCAGTCTAAAGTGTTTGAAATTAATTTATCCGCTTAGGATGGTGTATAAATTTCTCATTACGAGTGTCAGTGATGAACAAGAAACCATTCCAAAAAATGTATTGGGGCTCATGCCAAGCCCTGGGCTCCAGGTCTCTTGCCGAGCCTCGGCCCGGTACAAAGGATTTCACACAGTCAGGAGAGTTAGCTATGCATGCTTTCCCGTTGCCGGGGCTCAGCCAAATACCCTGTGAGAATGACACGTATACACACTTTGTTTTATTATTCTGCACAGATGCTTTTTTGTTTTATATTTCAAGCTTTGTGGGGTATAATGCAGGGTGTTGTTTTTTGTTGTGTGTGTATTTTTTTTCTCTCCATCTCCCAGTCACTAACCTCCCCCACCCCCACAAAGGGATAGGGTAAGGGGGAGTGGAAAACAGAAGATGGCAGCTTTTCCAGAAAGGCTTGCGGTGAATTAGATAAACAGAATCTCTCTGGTTTGGGGGTGGGGGAGAAAAAGATGATTGGGTAGCCTGACAAGAGATGGGGGAAAGGGGAGAGGAGAAGAAGATAGGTCCTTAACTCCACCCCAATGGAAAATGGTGCCAATTAGACTATATTGGTCAGTGCCCATATGAGAATGAACTCTGGTCTAAAAGAAAGAATGCACTGAAAGATATATGATTGTTGGCTTGCCTCGTCATGCGGCTTTCTCCCTCACTCCCACCCTGCACCTGCTTCTACCACCCAAAACACACGTACCTAGTCTTCCTCAAAAAATCTCACTCCCCCTATGCCAGCTCCACAGCCACTCATGGCTAGGTCTTTCAAAGACTGCCGGGTGAGTGATCTCTAAGAAGGATGGGCTACTCTTCCCTTGCGCCCCACCTGACAAACTAATAGTCCACTAAGCAAACAACCCGCTTCACTCTGCCCTTTCTGGTGTCTCTGTGGACGCTTGTTGATGTGCAGACCTCAGCTTCTCTGCAATGATGTCAACAGTTGGAAGAACGAAACAAAAGAGAGAGAACCAAGTAAACTCCAGTAAGACGCTGACAGAGACTGGGATTACCTCTCAAGTGGGTTTGGGTCTGGCCAAAGGGCAGGGCCCCACCCAAGTCAAGAGGGATAGCAGCTGAAAGTAAATTTGCTTCTCTGGGTCTCAGTGTCTCCATCCGTTAGATGAGGAGTCTGAATGAGATAATCTCTAAGGGCTCTCCCAGCTCCAATGTTTTGGACTTCTGTCATGGAAATGACAGTCCAAATAACCAACCATTGGACCAGTGGTAGCCCAGAGAAAGACAGACTGGATTCTTCTGAAGTAGAAGGGGCTTCTCCACTGGATGGCCCCCCAACACTGTGTGCTTCTTATGGAAGTTGTGCCTGGAAAGCCACTTGCTGGCATTCCCCTCACCTCCACCCACAATAACCTTTCCAGATTTGAAAAGGTCTCCATAGCAAAAAGAGAGAATAAGGGAGTGAGGCGACCTCTCCGGAATGCCCTCCAGAGTAGTCAGGAGACTTCTTATCGACCTCTTCCTTAGGAGAAGCTTCCACCTCTCTCATCTCACCTGGCTCTCTGTCCAAACATAGACAGGAAGGGCAGGGATTGGGGCTGATCTGCAAGAGGCCCCTCGGCTTTGGATGTCTGGCAAGCAGCTCTACTCCTGGGCAGCCAGCCAGGCAGCAGTCCCTAAAGAGGTGCCCTCATTAAAGGCAGCATGGTCCAGTGGGCAGGGCATCAGACTGGGCATCTGGAGGCTTGGGTTCCAGTCCAGCTCTACTGCTGATTTGCTAGGTGACCTTAAGCAGATTACTTAACCTCTCTATGTTCCACCTGCCCTCTGCCCTCACTCTTTGGGAAAAGTTCCAGATCTTTCTCCTAGAAATGAGAGAATCAACTGGATCTGTGGCTCTAGTGCCTGAAATCCTCCTTCATCTTGTTGCCTTGTCCTGCTGTTCTTAACAAATTGAACCACTGCAATCTTATTCAAAGGAACCCAAGAAATACATTGCACTTTTTTTCCTCCTCATAATTTCCAAGATTCAGCCCTGGTGTCACCTTAGAAAGACACAGTGATGTTGTTAGAACGGTAGCACCAAGAGGGAAGTTCAAGAGCAGAAAGGATCCCCTAATAGGTCCAGGTTACCCCCTGAAAAGTTTGTTTTCTCCATGTCTCCAATGTCCACTATCAACATAGCCTCTGATTCAGATTTCCCCACAGGCATTCGGTGTCCTCAGATTCCCTATTAAAGCCCAATCTTTCACCAGGATCCGCATCTGGGCTTGCAGACACCTCAGATTAGTCCCTTATCCCTTCTTTGTACTTCTCTCTTCCTGTCAAAATGTACCCTTTTCCAGGTTACTTTCAAGTTCTGTTAGACCTGTGGCAAATCAGCTCAAAGAATCCAGGCTCAGGTGTGAGTAGCTGATCATTGCATAAGCTATTAGTCTTCCCAAATCATCAGATCTTGTTTATATTTTCACTTTGAGCCTTCTCTGCCTTAGCATGAAAGGAAGGAAACAAGCATTAATCACATGCTACATGTCAGGAATGGTGCTAAGCTCTTTACAAATATCTCATTCGATCCTCCCAACAACCATGAGAGGTAGGTGCTATCATGATCCCCATTTGACAGTTGAGGAAACCAAGGCAAACAGCAGTTAAGTGACTTGCCCAGGGTCACACAGCTAGTGTCTGAGGCCAAATCTGAAATGTGACTTCATGCCAAGCACTCTAGCCACTGTGCCAGCTAGCATGGGAGTAAGTTAATGTGTACACTTCAGGGTCCTCATTACAGAGGAGAGAAGATATCTAGAGAAAAGCAGACTTTCCCAGAATTCCATAAATCTCGTAGGTCATTCGCCCAATCTATAATAAGGCCAGCAACAGGTTTCAAACCTTTCTTTTCCTTGAAAAAAAGTTCTTTCTTCTTGAAATAAAAATCTTTAAACTTATAGATATTAATACTTCTTCTCTACTATCTCCTCGCTAATTCATGTTTTCCCTGAACCCTTCAAATGCTTTGCCTTGGGGCCCAAGAGCTAGACTCTGGAACTTGAAACAACATATAAAAGGAAAGGATGGGTCCCAAGGATGCCAAAGCATTTGACTGATGTTACAAAAACTTCAGTCCAAAATTTGGAAAGTCAGCCATCATGGAGTAGACAGGGCATTGGACCTATGATCAGGAAGACCTGGGCTCAAATTCCACCTCATTCAATCAACAAGCATTTTTTAAAAGCACCTACTATGTTCTAGGCACGGTGCTACCCACTGGCGATAAAAGTACAAAGAATGAAACAATCCCTACTAGAAAAGAGTTTACACTTTTCATATATACACACACACACACACACACACACACATATGTATATGTACATATGTATGTATGTATATAAATGTAAAATGAATAACTACAAATACCTGCAAAATAGTTCAATACAAGGTAGCTTAGGTAGGATATTAGTAGTTGGGGGAATCATGAACAGCTTCATGAAGAAGACTAGACTTAAATGTTAAAGGAAGAGAAGGACTCCGTGTAGGGGTGGGAAGGAGAGAGTGCATATCAGACAAGTGGCATGGCCAATGCAAAGTCACTGACATGGGCGGTGATGAAGAGAAGGCCAATCTTGCTGGATTGCAGAGTGAGGAAGGGGAAACAATTAAGTCCAATGAAGACGGAAAGAGAGGAGGGGCCCAGGTTATGAAGGGCTTGGAATGGTAAACAGAGGAGTTTATATTTTACCCTGAAGTCAATAGGAAGTCACTTGGGTTGAAGGAGTAGAAAGGTCACCACCTTAGACACTCAGACTCTGGACAAGTCAGTCAATGTCTCTAGGTTGCAGTTTCTTCATTTATAAGATGAAAGGGTTTCACTTAATATCCTCTAAAGGACCTTTCATCTGTGATTCTTGAGGCTGCTTTGGCTGCAGAGCTCCCTATACCACCTATGCGGGTAGTGAGGCTAAGGGGAAATAATAAAGAACAAGAAGCCATAATCTTTGTCCGTATGTAGTTTATAATTTAATTTGGGATACATGATCTTGAAACCAATGAAGCATACACATGGTGAGCAAGTTACCAACAAGCCCAGGGGAAAAAAAATACAGACACTCCAAAGGCTACATATGGAAGATGATGTGATGGATCTTTTTAGTGGAACAGAAGAAAAGAGTGCTCTCACTGGCCAGTAGAGGCTTTCCAAGCTAAGTCCAATGGTATCAGTGGGCATATTTAAAGAACAAAGAACAAGAAATGTAGAGAGGAGATCAGAGAGATGACATCAAAGGGAAGAAAGAAATAAGAGAAGAACAGAAGAGGTAATAGTGGCAAATAATAGTTGCAATAGGGGCATCAAGGAGGTGAGCAATTAAGAGGAAGGGAAAATAGAGGGAAGAATTTATTAATCACATACTATATGCCAGGCACAGGCCTGTGTTTTATCTCATTTGAAAGAAAAAAATAACTATAGAAGAGAATTGGTGTGTCCAAGAGGTGAAAGGAAGAGAAGAATATTGACTGTAAAAGCATTCTGGAGCTCTGGAAGTACTTGGTGTTGGGGCAAAAACATGCTCCAAAGGCACCATTGTCTTACAGGCCGGTCCTAAAATCAAATAAATGTGAACTGGGGGACCTTAGGGAACACCTAGTCCAACTACGTCATGTTCCAGATGAGGAAACTAAGTCCCAGAGAAGAAAGTGACTTGCCCTGGTCATACAGTAGTAAATAGAGCCAAGACTCAAATCCAGGCAATCTCTCAGTCCAGTCTTCTTCCTGACATACCACACTGTCA